AGACCAGAGAGCTGTCTATGGGAGAAAAGCAAGCCATTGTCAAGCTGAGAAAAGAAGGAAAATCGACCAGAGCCATTGGACAAACATTGGGCATAGCAAGCACAACAATTTGGGGTGTCCTGAAAAGAAAGAAACTACTGGTGTACTGAGCAACAGACGTCGAACAGGTCAGCCAAGGAAAACAACAGTGGTTGATGACAGAAATATCGTGACAGCTGTGAAGAAAACCCCCAAAACATCAGTAGCTGACATCACCAACGACCTCCACAGTGCAGGGGTGAAGGTATCACAATCCACTGTTCAAAGAAGAATCAGAGAGCAGAAATATAGAGGCAACACCACAAGATGAGAAATGCATTGAAACTAATCGGGAGAAGTTTATCATGCAGCAAGACAATGACCCAAAGCACACTGCCAACAAAACAAAGGACTTCATCAGGGGAAAAAAGGTTGGAAGGTTTTAGAGTGGCCAAGTCAATCACCTCACCTTAACCCAATAGAGCATGCATTTCACCCCCTTAAAAGGAGACTGAAGGGACAAACACCCCGAAACAAACAATAACTGAAAGAAGCTGCAGTAAAAGCCTGGAATAGAATCACAAATGAAGAATGCAACAGTTTGGTGATGTCGATGGGTCACAGGGTTGAGGCAGTTATTGCAAGCAAGGCTTATGACAACAAATATTAAATGTTATTTACTTTAAGATTATTTGTTCCATTACTTTTGCTCACCTAAGAATGCTGTGGTCTAATACAAACGGTGGTATGTCCTGTGTTGTTGGGATAACTTCAACATGCAGGATTTTTCATTAAATAAAAAAACAACATATTGTGTATCTCAAAGTTTTAGCATTTTCTTGCTTTTCTTTCTTTACATGCCTCAATGCAGGTGTCGAGTTTAGGACACAGCCTGAGAAAAGAATGGTGCACTTCCCTTTTTTACTGAGTCTAGCTGAACAATGTGGCCGTCATCACAGAGCATGGGTTCACTATGTGAGTACATACTGTACAATAGAATGCAATCCAATCTATAAGGTCTCTAACACAGTCTCCCTCGAGATTCACAAATGTAGTATATTTTGATTTAGTGCCCCAGCATGATTATTATTCTTCCAAAATTGTTTGTGTGGTGTTTTCCTGTACAAGTGGTGCGTTGTTGCTGAGTGAGTTAGCATTCGACACCTTTCACAACCCGTGCGTCTGTCACCATGGTAGCACATTTAAACAAACAGCAAACAGATGCAGATATGATAACAGTACAGATTTCAATAAATATTTGTTCATATGTTCGTCTCTAGTGTGTGTGGTAAAGGACTTTTGCGTTCTCTCTCAAAAATTATTTTGTGCTTTTAACCTACACAGGATATGAAACACACAGACACTGTGCAATTTACTGAACTGAAATGTTTATTTTGTGCGTTTTAGTTGCTGGCCAAAATGTTGTCACATGCATGTCTTCAGCACTTCACAACTATCTGTTAAGCCACGACAGAATTAACCAATCACTTTCCTGATTTAATTTTTACATGATGATAATGAATTTGACTTTTTACATTTCCCTTGAAATCTGCAACTAAGAGATCGTAATATTATCTTTTATATAAAATATATTATATTATAGCCTAATAAAAAATATATTCAAAAAGCTTTCACAGAAATTCTTATGCAGTACATTTGTGTGTATGTGGGAGGGGGGACAAAGATCACTATGGAGACAAAGTCCGAGATAAATAGTTGTGTTAGTGTGAGGGCTGTTTGTCCCCAGTTATATCGATTCTTTGGGTTGTGTCTTTCTCTATCATTCAAACAGCATGCAAATGATCACCTGCTCATATCAGGAAAATCTCCAGGTGTTTTAACACTGAAATGTCTTTCTTTCCAACCATTACATTCTTTTTGTAATGGACATGTGGCTATTTGAATGTAGTGATCTACATGCGTACACATACACATGCTGCCTGTTTGCCTAGTTTGCATTTTTTGTTTTTATTTCAACAAGGGAAAGTCATTTCCCTGAGGTTTCTGCTTTAGTCAAGCAAACTTAAGCAAACAGACTCGATCGATGGGAGACAAGCAGTCTAAATATATCAGATTTTACAGCTGTTTCTAAGGTTCCTGAATTTAAAGATAAATCTGTACCGTTTGAGGGCAGGTGATGAATTCTAATTATTAAAATTTTATTATTAAAGAAGCTCATGAAGTCGTTACTATTGAGGGCTATAGGGGCAAATGGCTCAATGGAGCTGTGACTCTCTGTCAGCCTGGCTACGGTGCTGTAAAGAAAGTTCTTATTTTCCTCTATTCATGTTGAGTAATAGACTGCTCTGGCATTATGGAGGGCCTTTCTATATGTTCTTATCTTGCCAGACTAAACAAAATAACAACTTAATAAATAAAACTTTTGTGATGTGAACTTTTGCTTTAATTTGCCTTTTTCAGGGTTATACTAGGAAGCTGTCCTTCTTTGTTTTATTATTTGAAGCAAAATAATTTATTGCTATTAAGTGTATTTAAGACATAAAAGTAAATTGTTTTATAAACTTACAAGATGCTTATTAATGAATCATTCAACTTAAATCTTATCACTGCTCACTCTTAATCGTGCTTTATCATTCAACTTAACCCTCCTCATTAATTAATATTTTTTTATGTTCTGCTTCAGCCTCATTTTTTTATGTTAATTTCCAGCCCTAGGACCAACAATAGGAATTCAAAGGTTATTAAAATAGTAAGGTATTCGGTTGAAAGACTTTTAAATGTTCAATTTCCAAATTTAAAAGCCAATCTACCCTAATAATGATATAAACGCAGTCGGTGTCCACATTGAATATTAAAATCACATACAGCAGAGGTTTTCAAAGTGTGAGGTGGGCCTAGGGGGGCTCCAAACAATTTCAGGGGAGGTTCAGTGAATGGAAGTGAAACAATATTATGTTACTTATTGCATTAGTTATCAAAAGGAGATCACATAGAATAGCCTACATGCCTGAGAATTAAGAGATACAGTAGTTTTTGGGAACTGTTTTCCCCCCATCAGAGTCAGAAACTAATAAATGCCTTAGTACAGATCTTTTTTTAAAACTACTTGGTGTGGGGGGCGTTTCCCAAGCTTTGTCTGAGGGGAGGCCCACAGTCTCAGACTTTGAAAACCCCTGGTCTACAGTACTTTATCGGAATAAAATTCAGAATATGGACCAGGAGTGTGGTACATTATAGCAAATAGAATTGGCTATAGTATATGAAAGACTAAGAATAAGGCTTTCAAATGAGATTTAACTGAGTTTAGGCTTAAGGTTTATTAGGCAAAGATTGCTGCAACTTCACCTCCTTGGCTGGTGCCTTGAGAAATGTGAGTATTAATACGACATATGAACTTATTCTTCATACCCCAGCCAGGATTCAGTAAGACAAAATAAATCAATATGAAGATCTGATATTAAATCATTTACTAGTACACCTTTAGGTGAGAGTCCACATTTAATTCTCCTATTTTTGTGCTATTGTAGCGGTGGTGTACATTTTTTAATAGGTTTGTTATGCACAGCTCCTCTTCTATTTACTTTTGATCTAATTAACTTATGTAGTCAGGGGGCAGACACCGTCACTTAGGGGTTTTCGGTGGATAACTGCTCTAATGGAAGCACAGAAGCGTGTAGGGCTATGACTCTACCTCCTGGTCTCAACTCTGGGTTGTCAGTGAGTTGGCTAAACATGTCATCACTGGTCAGATTTAGCAGGGGCCAACAAACTTTCCCTGAACTAAATTTTTTGGGGATTGCCACCTAACGCCCATAAATTATCAGGATCGTCTTGTAACCTTGAGTTCATTTTGACTTAAGGTATACTTAAAGAGCCAGGTAAACAGAATAAGACTGAGACCGATGAAATATACTGACAACAGCTAATAGGATTTTTCACAAACTGGCAACCTAAATATTGTTCTTGTTAATGGCTGTTTTATTAAGCATTTCTAAATGATTTGAACATCTGCCTGGTTGTTAAAGTGATGACAAAGTTTGCTTTGTTATGTTAGTCTATCATTTTTTGTCTTTAAGTGTTAAGTATACACTTGTTTGCACACTTTGTTTAGAGCAAAAAGAAACCCTGAAATAAAATCTTAGCTAAGCCTGAGGGTTAAACACATGAGTATGCTGTTTGTCTCATGATGCTTCTGTCAAAGGAACTCCAAGAACTCCTCTGTACAAACCAGTTAACTCATGACTCGAACTTGAATGCAGACACAAACTTATTACTTATTATACATGTTATGGTTGTGGAAGCATTCATGTGCACCATTGATGTGTCTAATAGAAATCGGGAACTGAAACGTCTGAATGAGGACATGGTAGTTAAACTGAATGAATAGCTGTGTCTCACCCTGTCGGGAAAAAGAGAGTACATGGACGCCCACAATACTGTAGATCTCAAAGATATTCTTCAAATAAAATAGCAATGAGTATTAGTGTGTTGTTTCTCTCATATTGCTTCTACTTTGTATCTTCCCAAGACCAAATAATACATTTTAATTATTTCAAAAGCGACCTGGTACTTAATCCTATATGTTCTGTCTCACTCTGCTTGTTATAAATATTTTGGTTTTGAGCTATTACGTTTTAAAGACATAAGCACAATGAAATAGGATGTTGATATTGCATGTAAAAATAGGTGTAATTCAGTTTTAAGATATGTTCTCGACTGACTACATCTGTTGTTCTCACCTCATTCAATATTATTGTATTGTATTGTCTCTCTCCACAAAAATCATAATGTCAGATGTTAAATTGTTTCCTTTAATTAAGCCATTGGCCCATGGATGCACTGTGGTTCCCTGTTACTGCCTAGAAATGATTTGGACTTAACTTTGTACAGTTAAAAAAACAAAAACACAAGAAATAATGGACTCTGTAACCGTGCTACTCCCATCCCTGTGCACCATATCTAAATGGTGATGAATCCTGTAAGACACTGAACCTGAATATTTTCCCCCTCTTTCCCTACAGTGAATTCTCGCAGCTGCAGCATTGCCAGGGTGTTTCTGGTGGAGGGAGCAAGCCGTCACTCCCTGAACTTTGACATGGCTCAAAAGGTGTGTGAGCAGCTGCAGACAACCTTGGCAAGTCCAGAACAAGTCCAGGAGGCCTATAATCAAAGCATGGAAACGTGCAGGTGAAGCCTTTGTTTAATAATTTTTGTATTCAAATTAAAAACATTTTGCTTTAAACTTCTATTTTTTGAAATTTTATGAAAAAAGTTTATGAACCCCAAATTCTCAAGATCTTGCCCTCTCACATCTTTCAACATTTGACCTTTTGCAGGGATGTTATTTTCTGACCTGAAAATCAGACCCAAGTGAATCATGCAGATCTGTAATTTAAAAAAAATGTGTGTGTGTGTGTGGGGGGGGGGGGGGTTACAGGAGCTGGCCGAGTGAAATGGAAAGGATTTGAGGACATCTACAGGCTGACGTGTGAAAAGTTTTCTTCCTTTCGAAGTATCAACAATGATGTTCGTATGCGTTCAGCTGCCCATTCCACACTTGCGCAGTGTGTATCACAGTCACACTCGCGCATCAGTGGTACGTAAAGTGTTGGGCAGTAATATTGTAATATTAATTTTCCCAGTAAAGAATAGTGTGACGGATTACTATTTTCAAAACAGTTATATTATTACAGTTACTAATCATATTGAGGCTTCCCTACTGAATGCACCATCCCTGACGCAAATGCGCAAATGCTGCAGCTCAGCGGCACCGGACCTTATCAGCGATTAGCCAAAAAGGAAGACAGGAGAACAGAGAGGAGAGGTATTTTCGACTTCTTTAAGTAACGTTATTGCCATTATTGTGTCACAGTCTAAGATGCAAAGAACATTGTCGTCCATTGTAAACTTTGTGCGACCAGCAAAAAGCTTTTAACCGCGAACAATTCTACATTGACTTAAGGGCAATTTATACTTCTGCGTCAAATTGACAGCGTAGGCTACGGGGCTACGCAGAGGCTACGCCGTCACCTGACGTGCACCTCCTCAAAAATGCTACACGTTGAGTCGATGCGGACCGTAATAAGCTCTGTGATTGGTCGGCTGGGTAGCCTCGCAATGCCTCTGAGCCGACCAGAAGTACCCCGTGCTTTAAAGTAACATTTACTAGCGGCCAAAACGGCAGCTGTAACACAGTGAATCAATATATTTGACCGTCGCAACCCGAGCGAAATGACTCGTTTCACTATCAGAATGTGATCCATTCGGTCGGTAACATTTGAAAAGGCTACACCAGCCGCACGTTTACAATTTTACCCCCATTTACATTAGCAGAGCGCTAAAACGGAAGTTAGCCTGCTCGGCCGGCAAAAGTCAACACAGTGGACGCTGTAGCGCTACTGCGTGTGGGGGTGTAATTGCAGAATGACGGACACACCTACGCACAAGTATAAATGCATGGTAACTTGCCCAACACTGAGTTGGCAATAAGCATCGGATAAATTGGGTATAATTTGATTATTGCTTGTTATAGGCTATGTCTAATGTTTACTTTGACTTTTCTGTCGATTGATCAATCACACCTATATACACTTTGCTGTATGAATGGTTGCTTTTTAAGTCGTCCTTATGTTAAAAGTTTTGGCAAGTTATAAAGTAATTTCTTGTGAATGGTTGTGACGGGGTTTATATAAGGCCTTTTCAGATGGCTTGGATCCGTGGGGTCACTCTGCGCTCCTCATCAACAGACAGGCAAACAAGCACTCCACGGGTAACCATGGCAACGGCTTCTGTGTAACTGGTGCGATCCCGTGAAACTGTCACGGTCGTTCTCGTCTCACACACGCCCGCCCGCTGCCAGAGTTGAAATGCCAAACTTTTTCCTACAGTTTATCAATAGACAGAGACTGATGTGGCTGTTTGATCTGACTTTCCTGAATAATATAACTGTTTCTTTAACAGTTAGGCCACCAGGTATTAAACAGGCGACAACCTTTTCTGCTGTCTCTTATTCATTAAAAATAATCTATTAACTTCTACTAAACTAATTTGAAAGTTAGTAGTTATATTCAATTATTTCATGCTGCATGTTGCACATTTAGCTGTTGAAGCTTGGTAAAAAAATGAATACAAAATAATTACAACCCCAATTACAATGAAGTTGGGACGTTGTGTAAAAAGTAAATACAAACAGAACACAATGATTTGCAAATCCTTTTCAACCTATGTTCAATTGAATACACCACAAAGACAAGATATTTAATGTTCAAACTGATAAACTTTATTGTTTTTTGCAAATATTCACTCACTTTGAATTTGATGTCTGCAACACCTTCCAAAAAAGCTGGGACAGGGGCATGTTTACCTCTGTGTTACATCACCTTTCCTTTTAACAACACTCAATAAGCGTTTGGGAACTGAGGACACTAATTGTTGAAACTTTGTAGGTGGAATTCTTTCCCATTCTTGCTTGATGTACAACTTCAGTTGCTTAACAGTCTGGGGTCTCCGTTGTCGTATTTTGCGCTTCATAATGCCCCACACATTTTCCCTGAAAAAGATGTTCCTTGGATGGCAGCAAATGTTATTCCAAAACCTGTATGTACCTTTCAGCATTAATGGTGCCTTCACAGATGTGCAAGTTACCCATGCCATGGGCACTAACACACCACTATACCATCATAGATGCTGGCTTTTGAACTTTGCACTGATAACAATCCGGATGGTCCTTTTCCTCTTTGACCTGGAGGACACAACTTCCATAATTTCCAAAAACAATTTGAAATGTGGACTCGTCAGACCACAGCACACTTTTCCACTTTGCATCTGTCCATCTCAGATGAGCTTGGGCCCAGAGAAGCCGGCGGCATTTCTGGATGTAGTTGAACTATGGCTTTCGCTTTGCATGGTAGAGTTTTAACTTGCACTTGTTGATGTAGTGACAAACTGTATTAACTGTTTTCTGAAGTGTTCCTGAGCCCATGTGGTAATATCCTTTACACATTGATGTCTGTTTTTAATACAGTGCTGCATGAGGGATCGAAGGTCATGGGCATTCAGTGCTGGCCTTGTCGCCTACGTACAGAGATTTCTCCAGATTCTCTGAATCTTTTGATGATATTATGGACTGTAGATGATGAAATCCCTAAATTCCTTGCAATTGTACGTTGAGAAAAGTTGTTCTTAAACTGTTGGGCTATTTGCTCACACAGTTGTTCACAAAGTCGTGAACCTCGCCCCATCCTTGCTTGTGAATGACTGAGCCTTTCGGGGATGCTCCTTTTATACCCGGTCATGACACTTGTTTCCAATTAACTTGTTCACCTGTGGAACTTTCCAAACAGGTGTTTTTTGAGCATTGGAATTGGGGTTGTATTATTATAGAGAAGTGGTGAAGACGCAGTGGATTAGACACTTGTCTTTGATTCCCACTGCAACGCATCCACCAAATAAGTTATTGTCATGGGTCCTGCTTTACCATCCATATGCTATAATAGAGCCACTGCCAGTTTTATCGAGGTGTGATTGCCTGCTTTTGGATCTTCAGTTCTAAAACTTCACAGGAAATGCTTTTACTCATAGTTAGAAAGATCCCAGAAACAAGAAAAGAGGAAGAAGGTCTTCCAGTTTTACAACACAGATACGCCAAGTTAATCATGCGTTAGAAACCACGTAAACTTCTAATAAATGGAACCATCATCGGTCTCTCAACTGTGTCTTCACTTCTCTGTGCAATGCAAATCACTTCTGTTTTCACTATGATGTTATGTGTTTAGACTTGGCTACTTGGAGACAGATTGCATTGTGCATCAACAAATGTCTCAACATTTGCTACAGATTGTGTCAAAATTGATCTTCTAATGATAATATTAATATTGTTGTGTCTTTTCAGGTATGGCTGGACCAACAATATGAGCGTTGTCATCCTCAGACTCAGCCACCATGAAAACTGTGCAAAGAACATGACAGGGTTCATTATTAATTCCCGTGTAGATGCTACAGAAAACTTTGATGCTTTATGCTATGATAAAAAAGGTGACTATATCCACAAGAACTTGTCACTTACACTTTATCAGGGCAGCCCAAAGCTGATACTCCAATTACTGAAGTGTTATGTAAATTTACAGACTGCACTGTCAAGACTTTGTTGTTTGTTACTATTTGCTTTTCCATTTTGATAACTGCTTTCTCTTCCCCCATGTGCCAGTCGGGCCTGAGTTGAACTGTACGGAAGCATTTCGAACCAAAGATGCATCAGGTTAGCACACCCATTCACCCTTACCTTATTGTAACACATGTATAAGGAGACACACTGAAAAATTGAATTTACAGTTGTCAGGATGTCAACATTTAAAAACATACAGAATTCCCAGCTTATGAAGCTCAGTTGATGATGTGTTGATTTTTGGCATATGTCATAGAATTGGCAGAAAACTAAATTTGCAATTCATTATTTTAAGCAAAGAAAACAATATGAAAACTCTTAGAAAACACCTCGCTCTAGTTCCCAATTATTACTATATACTCATTTTGTACTGTATATTTATATAGCAAGTGTATCCATTTCTTTAATGGCACTGTCTAATTGCACTGGCTGACAATTATGTGGCAAAAATGATTTAAGACTTATTATGTTGCAACATTTCATGGGGGATGCCTGTGAGAAACTCAACTGCAGCAAGAAAGTCAACCATGCATGTTAATATGCATGCGTTTTGTATTGTAATGTATTATTATTTTAACATAAACATTGGCATGATAAGATGAATTGAAAAGTGAAAAGTTGTGAAAAAAAGTTTAATTCTCAGAAGAGAATGTAATCAGGTTTTACAACATCTCTCTATTCCCCAGCAGCAGAAGGCCAAGAAGAGACCACTCCAAAAGCACAACCTGAGGATGCTTCCGATAGTGAGGGTGGAGACCCCACAGTAGTCTCTTCGAAAGATCCTTTCATGGAAACTACCCCATTAGCCACTACTAATCCAGAGGAGCCAGAACATTCCGTGAATGTTTTGGATGAAATCACCTCTGGTGGGAGTGAGAACAACAGTGAGGGGTTCACTTTCACTACTAGAGAGTTAGACCAGCCCACTGGATCTGGGATGGTGCCACCATCGGTTGACAATGTGGTAGCCTCACCAACGGCCCCTGTTGGAGAAGTAGAGCCTAAAAGACAAGATGCCATAACAGAGTGTAAGGAAAACCCAAGCAAAATGCAACCAACAGATAACTGCTACAAATCATAGTACAAGTAGACTTGTGTATATGATTACAGCTCACTGAAGTATTCAGGATTTGGATGAAATACATCTGACAGCGTAATGCATTCCTGTATCAAAGCCATGCAATAGAAATCACCTACGTGGGGCTAATAATGTTCACTTTTTGTGGAGACTCTATCACAAAGAATGAGTGCTGGTTCAGCTGTTATTCTTCAGCAATTTTTGGATTGCATTATATTGCAAAGTTCCTGTTATTTGATCTATCCTCTGTATATCCAAAAGTGTAATCATAAAAATTGTGTTCATTTATATTCAAAATGCATGAAAACACAGCCCACCCTGACATTAGATGCAACAGGTTTTGAAAGAACTGAAGTAACTTTAAGAACATATGACGCCCCCTTGTGTTAGGCTGATATGTGGATTGGCTTTGTTGCAAAATAGGCCTCAGTGATTTTGTCTCTTTGTCCAGAGGAGCTATAATCAGGATCAGGATTTTCACCAAAACACACCAAATGCACAGAAGTGTGTTTTGAGGGCATATAGGCTATACAGTTCAATTTGCTGTACAAGTTAATTTAAATCAAACCCATAAAATATGAAAGAGATAAAACTGCAAATATGATATAAGGCAGTTTAAAGTGAAAAACATCCTATGTGTTATTTTTTAAATGTGCTTATTTTTGGGAGCCTGGGTACCTCCGAGTTTAATATGTCGGTGAATGACTTGTATCTTAAATGTTTACCTTACCTGTTTTATTGGCATTGTAGCTCCAAAGCAACAACCTAATGACAAGGGACAGGTCCCAGGTCCTGATGCGACTGAGCCTGGTTCACTGGAGAGAAGTAGTTCATCAAGTGAGCAACTGTGTTATTTCACATATACCTTTTAACACCCTGAAGTCCATCGTGATTTCAATCCAATAAGACAGTGTTGGGATAAAGTGCACCCCTAGTGGGATCCACTCTTTATTGACAGTGATTTTTGTTACTGACTCAGTTTTAATGCTGCAGGCTCATGGCTTGTTATTTCTCCCTCCAGACTGGCTGGTTATCATTGGAGTGATTGTGGCAGTTGCTGTTATTCTTCTTGTGTGCGCAGCTGTTGCCAAAAGAAACAGGTATGACTTTGTTTGCTTTTTGTCCCCCTTACACTAATAGAGCTGTCATGTAATGTGTTTTGGACAGAAACATTACCCCCTGTTTCTATGTCATACTGTGCACAGTAGTCAATAGTCCGATTTTCACAAAATTTGCTGCAGACTGAGGGATGGCAAAAAAAATCCTATAATTTAAATGAATAACGTGCGCTTGCAGCTGGTGCGGCAAACAGCAGACCCTGATTATCACACCCAAAGATGGCGAGGGGAACGGGGCGGCAGCATCTGCATCCAGCTCGCACGCCCAGGAGAGAGAGCAGGAAATGGTGACCCTCATGAACAAGGAGAAGATCCAGGAGAACGGCAACACGGAGGAGTTCACCGTCATCACGCTAGAGGAGTCACCAGATAAAGAACAGCTGGCATGAGAGAGGAGTGCAAAGGCAGACAGGGAAGAGTAGGTGAGGACAGGAGGGATAGAGTGAGGTGATGGTTGGGAGATTGGATGGGTCGGGGGTTGGGGCTCCAAACACTGGGGAAGAAATATGCTTTGTTGGCCAGCACTGGATGGACACTGAGTAAGGGTGTATGTGTGTGTTATGTAGAAAAATTGTCCAACTAAGGTTCAAAGTATTGTGCTGGGTCTGAAGCTGTTGTGTCAGTGGGACCGGGTATTTGAAATCACCATGTGCAGCATTTTATTGTCTGGTATACCAGGTTAGGTCGGATTCAATGGCAGTCAAAGAGTGTCATGCATGATGGGGTATCATGCATCGGTGCATAGCAGGGTGTGTGAATGTGTTTTTTGTGTCTGTTCTTTGTGTTTGTGAGCTTTATGCTTTGTTGATGGTGGGGCTAGATATACATGGATTTTAAAGGCCTAGGGGCTAATTTGTGAAGAACATATTGATGACAAATGAGTTCCGTTTTTTTATAGAATTGGTGGTTCCTAAATTGGCAGGTCTTTCATCTTATATGGGAATTAGTAAATCAATATTTTATTTGAGATTTTTGAAGGAATCATTTTTACAACAACCCTTGACGTGTTCCATGTATTTCATTCATTTGTTTTGTTTGCTTATTGCTGTAACTTTGTGTATATTTCAGACATTTCCTGTGGACTGGAGTTTGCGTTTTCCATTTTCAAGAAAACTGGGGATGTCACTACCTTAATTTATGCAGCTTCATTTTCCCTTTTTCTTGGTCTCTGTATATAAAGTATATGTTTTCGGGAATGCCTTAGCAATAGCTGCCAGTGCTTTTTGTGGTTTGGTGGAAAGGGGGCTTTCTATCCCTTTTTAAATAAAGGTATGTGTAATTTTTTTGAGAGTTATTTAATTAGGAAGAGCATCTCTGAAGTAAACAATTGTGAATGGATTTTGCAATAGTCAAAGTAGAGTGGATATTGGATGAATCAACTTGATGTATAACATCCAAAAACTGTGCAACTGATGCACATTTGAAGTCAGTTAACATGGAATGCATTTATATTGTGTAGATGAAATGAAATGAAGTCCCTGATGTTATCCTGAGGATAAATAGAATGATGAAGATGTTGTATATGTACTATATACACAGTGTGTACGGAAAAAAAGAAAGAGCAAAAGGAAGTTTTGGCTATAACAGATTAACCATTTTGTTGATGCAAGATTTAAGCTCAGTGGAGACAAGTGACAGCGGCCTTGCTTTAGATGCTAAATTACATGATATGCATGATAATGGGTGGGTGGGTGGGGGGGGTGCTGTACACACATAGCAATGTAAAGGTTTCTTCATGACAATGTTGTGCTCCCGAGGGGGAGGGGAGGAGTGATGAATGAAGCTTGTGTGCTTGCCCAGGCATCTATATGACAGTGACTCTGTACATTCACACATGTAAACAAAAGGCTCCAATTTTTTTTGACTGACCTTCTCCTTGGTGAAATATATAATACATTGTGTCATATCAATATCATTCCCTGTGTGACAGCTAATTCTTCCTGGTTTTCAGTATAATGCTGAATTATATGCAGCGATTACAAACTGATTTATGTTTTTGATATGTTTTTTTCCTGCTTTTACTTTTACATGGTTTGAGGAAAAGTAGCATGCAGTAGTGTAGGCGGGTTTCATGACCAATTAACAAAAGATGTTGCTGAAAAGATCTGTAAAGTCATGAATGAAATAAATGTGTATAGAAAGAGATGTGCAGGAATGTGGTGTTCATTCATTCATTATGTATGTATGTGTGAAGACAAAAGGGAGTGAGTGAATGGCTTGACAGGGGATGCGAGTTAGTTATGTTGCCCCCACATAAGAGGAAGTAAGGTTTCCATGGCACCGGGGTTGTGATGTGAGAACATGTTAACACAGGAAGCAAAGACCGAGATAAAGACAGACATTTTGAAAGATAGACATGGCATCGTTAGATGCATGTAATATAGTCAGACTGTCTTCATTGACTCACATTGAAAAACACATGCACAATTACTGCTAATTGAGCATGTGTTTATTATACAGTGCACTCATTAATGCAGTCATCAAATACTGATCTAAAGCCGCTCAGCCGTCATTCTGCCATCACAAATTACTTATATATAGTAAATTAGTCTGATCCTTAGAAGAACATGCACTCTCTGTGATAGTCATCATTTGGTAACATATCTCTTTTTGCATGAGTTTTTTTTCTTTACGTGATGCAGAGGAGACTAGTGGGTATGTATCAACAAGCTGTATATCAAACTACCATCTATTTTGTTTTGATTTTTGCTCAGATGAGGCTAATATTTTCATAAAATTATTACTTTGCTCATACTTTTTTTATTCCAAACAAAAGGTTTCTGTTTGTAGCTAGAGTGATGTTTGACAAGTGCATTGTTTTACTGTCCTTCAGAGAATGACACGTTATCTATTGGCTATCCAGTTTAAATTGTTTCCATCCATCTAACAGTGCAGTGTCATATCTATCTTTTTTCACATGGGCCAACACCCCTACAATGTGCACATTTTTATTGTTATACTTAACATTCCCCTGTGTACAGTTTGACTTTTTTTGTACAACCCCCAATCAGTGTTGGACACATCATAGAGTGTTTTGTGTGGAGTTCATACAGAGTGCCTCAGGTATTCTGTGGTCTGAATGACTGCATGTAGTCCCTCTTCACATGCCCGGGTTCTCTCTTGTTCTTTAATGTGTGCGTCGTCTTTCAAATTGTTGATGATTACTCATTTCCTCACTGGCTCTGGGGATAGAACATAGATGGCAAGGCAGACTGGAGATGCTTAAAAATAGCCAATTAACAGTTCAATGTCTATTTGAACCTATTTAATCCCTAACTTAGTAATCGTAGTTGATTGAGTGGTCCAATACACGTGCAACAACATTTGATTGCTTTGGATTTAATTATGTTTTTAGAATAATTTATCAGTAAAAACTAGATTGTCTAGACTGTTTGAGAGACATAATTACACCAAGTGAATGACAGAAACAGACATGAAAAATTTATTTGCGTGTGTTTGTGTGACAAAATGAATACAGTCAAAAAATATCCAAAGGAACAGCCAATATTTAGTTATGAATCAACATTTATTAGTTATATTTGTATATGTACACCAAAGGTACAACACTTATTGATATGTAGAAACAGATTTTTTTTATGTATACCATAGACCATGGAAAGAAATCATGTCTTTTTTTGTCTTTTTTGCTTGAAAGTGTATCTCCCCCCACATACATACACTCTGCCTTTACATCAAAATTACAACAGCTTTACAAAGAGGGAAGGCCTAGAAAAGTAAGATCAGGAAAGCACGTTGTAGGCAGGAGTGAGGCAGGTCATCAGCTCTGTTTAGGAGCTTCTTCAAAAGGACACGTTTCAGTAGAAAAGGACAAGCTTGAAGATATACTGGCTCTTTGTTGAAATACCGTGTCATTCAATTTCCATTTAATCAGTACCATTTAGCTCAGCAAGTTCCAGGTGTTTGTGCGTGCATTTTCGTGTGGAAAGCAAAAAAAGGCAAGTAAAGGCAGTTTACAGGGTTGGATTTCTATAAACCCCCATAACGTCGATGGCATGTCAGAGGTCAAATGTGGCATGTTGTGGCATGTAGACAGGGTAACACAGAATCTAAAAGATCTAGATGTCCGTGTCTTGCAGCTTTAAATGCAGATGCACCAGGTAAACAAAAATACAACGGCATATCAGGGCCATTGTAGGTACCAAAATGTTTTTAAAAACGCTTGGTGAGGGGTGTAACATTCCAATAAAAATTATTGTCTGAGATTAAAGTCACATACTTATGAGAAAAAAACTCGTAAAATACTATTTTTCACCTGTGCTTATATTGTTAAAGGCTCTGTACTCTATCAAGCAGGGCGTGCAGATATTAATAACAACAGCCGTCACATATAAGCTAATTTCACCAACCTGTATTATGAAATACTTCCTCAGTTCAAAGACCAAAAACATAACAAATTGGGGAAGAGCTGCAGGCATTTATAAATGACTAGGATGTGACATACTTTCAAGTGGCTTTGTTGCAGTCCCTCATATCTAACTAACTGTTTGAAAGCTCAGAGAATATCCAAGGAATACCCCCACCCCACCCCGGCTCCGTAATTTATTAATTTAAAAAAATATCTACAATGGCCCTAATATGCCATCGTACAAAGATGCCTGAGACTAAAGCCAGTTTTCTCCATTGAAAAGACAAAATGGTTCAGATGAGTCACCTGAGGAAGGAATGTTGCATTATACTGTAACAGGCATTTGAATACATTGCATGATGTTTGTTCTTTAACTCAGATAACTATTATAGGCTGTGTTTGATTCCTCACTCTATCCTACATACAGGGCAAATTTGACCTTTTCCTTTATTTGTCTCTCCTTTTGGCAACCTTTATCCCAGTAATTCCGACCAAAACAAGTCATGCTGGCCCCCTTCATCAGAACAAAAACTTTCCCTCGCTCTCTTTCTCTCTCTTTTGTTTCTCCCTTTGTCTTTCTCGCCTTCAGGCAAACAGTGTTTGCTCCAGAATCACTGTATTTTTCAGAAAATTCTGCATTGCCTCTGAACAGAGCAATTACATATTTATTTATGTACAATGAAAATGAATGCATACTGCTTATATCTTCATGGAACAAACATTCAAAACGCTTACATTAGATTTAAAAAAAAAAAAAGATATTTATATATTGGTGTGTGACAGGTAAGTAAAACAACTAGTTAACAGCTATTAGAGCATAAAAAAACAAGCAATTTATTACACGATTTCCTCTCTATACATTTCGTCTAATCTAATTTTACTCAGGACATAGATGATTTTTTTTTCTAGAGGATTACATTAAAAATGTCACAGCAATGAAACTATATTCCTACATACCATTTCAATGCCCCCCCAAAAGAAAACAAAAGGAACAAAACAAACAAACAAACAAAAACATCTGTTACCTACAATATATACACAAAGTGCAAGGAGGCACTTTAAAATATCATGCTTTTAAGATAGTGGTGCAAAAAAATAATTATAATTTTATTTTATTCATGCTTCTAAAACCGTGAGTTTGAACATAATAGTGGTCCAACACTCAATCCCCATTGATGACACTATGGTCTGCATTGTCTCCTTACTGGAGAGATTCTTTTTTTTTCCTGAAGATCACATGGTCAAAAGATCAGGCTCAGAGGGCCTGTTCGGGTGTCAGTACTGTGCTCCGCGGCATGCTTGATTACAATTATAAATGTAGTGACCTTCAAGGTTTAAGACTGCTTGTGTGCATTTGGAAAAATAAAATCATGTGTGTGTGTGTGTGTGTGTGTGTGTGTGTGTGTGTGTGTGTGAGAAAGTGTGTGTCTTCATGCTTGCTTTTGTGTGTATGGTGTGCATCAGTCTGCGCAGTGCGTACAGCAAAACACCAAGTGGGCTCTATGTTGTATCAAAGCACACTTCTGTTAGCCAAGCTTTAAAAAAAAAAGCAAAAGACATCTTCTGAGAGTGGGTTTCAGGTACTAAAGGACCGAGTGTTGTACTAAGTGTTTTGTTAAGTTCTCTAATGTTACTTTAATTGGCATTTGTTTGAAGTGAACATCTTCAAGGCAAGGTTGTCATTAGCGCACATGACAAAACACAAGACAAGAGAGAAGGACACAATACTGATAAAGAAATCCAATCCACAAACCCACACCACAGAAGTCTCACCTCTCACTCACACAGGCTAAAAAAAGATTAACAGCCAGTAGTACAGCTTTGTTTGTGTGTTTGCAGGTTAAGCCATTTGGTTCTATGAGAGGAATATATTTTTATTACCTGATAGGTTGGCAACATTCTGGCAAAATGCATGTGAAGTGTCCATTGTTCTGTTCTGTGTTTCCTAACATGTCTTTGCACCAGTATGGACACACAGCTGCAGCATCTAGGGTTTTGTAGAAACAGTCTTGAGCTCTGGTGGCTAAAATATATCATTGTTTACCTTTTTAGGTCTGGCTAAACAAGAAGCTGGCAAGCCTCCCCGAAGCATTATAGCAATGAGCTGCCTCTGTTTGTGCAAGCCAAGAATCCATCTGACAGCCGAGAGCTACTTCTTCCTTCGTTTCTTTATTTTGAAATTCTTCTGGTGGTTCACCTTGTGTACTCTGTCAGTGTTCAGTAATAGCCGTTCCTGTGCTTTCAGAGAGAACACAGGTTGAGGGATCACTCAACCGCTGGAATATAATCTGAATATCTGTGTGTGTGTGTGTGTGTGTGTGTGTGTGTGTGTGTGTGTGTGTGTGTGTGTGTGTGTGTGTGTGTGTGCTTCCTGTATGTGCTACAAAACCTCTCTTCCCAGCACATTATCATATTATAAAATCACTATCTTTCACAAAGACCATTCCAGTAAACTGTCTCCGTTTTTAGAGTCAGCACTTTTAAAAGTTGTGCTGTCGAGAGGCCATTTTCTTGAAGCTCTAGTGAGCAAGTAAACATTTTAGGATTACAACATTTTTTCCTCCTGTAAAAGAGGAAACACACAAGCCTGAGAATAATTTGCTGTCCCTTATTGAGTTTTTAAAATTTTTTTTTTAAACTTGGAATACGATCAGTGTCGACGTGGAATAATGATGAAAATTATCCACATTGGGGTTTTGGTTATATTTGTGCTCTGTGACTCGGTTTGTGCTCTATATAATCTCTTTTTTGTGCTATAATTTCAGATATGTAAACTCCTTACTATTGTTTGTTTTTACAATAATCATTTTGATGCTAATTTCTTTTAATGTCATGTGCATCACAAAATGTTTTGTGGGGGAAAGTACTGTATAAAGTTTCATTTTCAGGGCAGGGATTTTTTTAAGCTTCATCGGAAAAAAGTGTTAATATCACGTGCTGTGCCAGCCACTTATAAACAGACGTTAATGTAGGAATTCTGAAGAATGTAATGAGAGTGACGTCATGGAGGCAGTTCAAAGGCCTCTGTGAGTTGATTGGTTATCTGCCTGTTTGGTCCCTATAATTTAGTTGGTCATGTTCTTAACCGCAGCTCTCCCTCTCTCTCTCTATCATACACACAGGCACACGCTCAAACAAGTTTTATATCTCACTCAACAGGTGACACAAAGAAAAAAGTCCCTTTTTTTCTTTTTTACAGTTGACCCAAAAAACCAAACAAAAGGGGGATAAAAAAAATGGGCTCCATGGTATGACTTATGCTTTCTAATTTCACTGTGAATGTGCTTGTAGTTTGAGAGGCTCAGCATGGTCGTTCTCCCTGCTTCCTACCCTTTCATCAGTTTGCTGGACCTCAGGGATAGTGGGTAATGTTCGGCAAATGCAGTCAGATTCACTCTAAAGGCAGTTTAAGAATCGAAAGTGATGTTCTCAGATGAGAGACTGAGATGGAGAGGAAAATCAGTGACAGCAATGTAAAGCCAGGAAGTTCAGTACAAACATTACAGTGGTTGTCATGATAAATGCTCCTGCTCTTCTTCTGACATTAAAATAATGAACCACCTGTATGAAACTTGGAAGATGATCTCAGCGCATCCCATGTTAAACAGCCACTTCTTCTCTCATCTTATAAATGTAGAACCAAGATATACTGCAAGGAATAGCTTATCTAATAAATATCTCTTTTTTTCTCTTCCTTCCCTCCCCAAGCCTTGAAGTATGTTGTGCAAGTATCCGCTATGTAGGATATAATTGTGCTCTAACAGGTAAAGTATACCTCTGTTATAATTTCACGGTTAAGTGAATTAGTATTATATATCAGTCAGATAGACAGTTGCAAAAACGTTTAAAGGGACTAATAAAAAAAAGGAAAGAAAACTAAACTACATAAAAAAAAACAATTAGTAGTTCTGTTCGTGTGACTTTTTTTTCCATTCACTCTTTTTTATCACCAAGTAGGAAAGCTTGTGGAGCCCAGGAGCAGGGGATCTCTGTGCTGCCATTATTCATGTTTCCATGGTTCCTCCTCAACAAGCGTGCACTCCGCAGCAGAGCCGTTAGTAGCTGAGGTTACCTGTAAGCATTTAGCAGGAAAATCTAAACAGTGGATCCAAGGCACAGACAAAAACACAGTTCATTTCTTATGAAGCATTGGATCAAAGAAATTACTTTAATACTGCATTGTTGATTCAATGCTCCCACTTATGAGATAATATTACTAAGTTTCAGCAAAGCAATCTGATTGGTCAATCAGGCTTACAAAGCTTAGAAAGCATGATTGACCATGGTTTATTTGCTATGCCATCAAAAAAGCAACTTTAACAATCATTCCTGCTATGTCCTGGTTTTATAAGCCACATGTAGGTAAACTTTTCAGAGAATACACAACTATAAACATTTTATAACTGTAAAGCCACGATACCAGTTAGGACATTCTTTTCTGTAATTTTGGGTACTGTAGTGAAGTCAACTTTGGCAATTAAAACGCACCCTCTTATGTATCATAGCTAGTTTGCAACATGCAAAAACTGTGAAGGAATACTGTAGGGCCACTGATGATGATTATGCTTATGGTAGCTCTAAGAGTGTAGTTTCTTTTACTGACCTGGGATCAGACCACACATTTATGATGACCAAAAACTCAACAGGCAGTAAAAAAAAATACAAGTGAATAAATTATGGAAGAATAGACAGATTACACAGAAAACAAGGTACAAACACTAAAGAATGAATGCATTGTTACTTTTAGCTATTTTGCAAGCACAGTGTTTTTTAAAAAAATTGGTTAGAAATGTGAGTCATGCTATTTACAGGCTAAATGGAACAGGAAACAAAAAAAAATAGTTATGGTGGAAACTGGAAATAGCAAGCCTTTGTGTCACATTTGTATGTAAATGTCCATTAATAAATAGAGACTCAGAAAGGAGGATGTGACTTTTCACTATGGATAGATTACTTGTGTGACAGGTTACCAGCGTTTCTAGGCAACACCTTTCATCCTTTAATAAATGAATAGGCTCATCAGCAGACCTTTTCTGCCAGGGCATGTGTGTGTGTGTGTGTGTGTGTGTGTGTGTGCGTGTGTGTGCGCGTATGTGTGTGTGTCCGTGTCAGGGAAGAAGTACTCTGGACTCCCACATATTATTCTAAAAGTCTAGAATACATTTAAAGACAGGGTGTGTTTTACATTACGGGTGCTACTTCACAGCTTTCCGATTTCACACGCAGTTCTCACAATGTACAGAAATAGCTGGTGGCAATGCGCAAAAACCCTGAATCAGTGACAGCGTGGTAGATGTGTGTACGTAGGGAATATGTGAACTGCTAATTAGCCATAACACTTTCCCACTCTACGGTGTAAATCTTACAGGAAAGGTTGACTGTTTGGAAATGAGTTGGTTAAACAATTGAAATTAGCTACATTCCAGATAAAGCAGAGTGAACCACACCGAACATTAAGCTGAACAAAAGGAAAATGAAAAGTGATTACAGGAAAGGGGAAACATTATTCCATAGAGAGGATCTTTGGAAAATGCATGATGTGTCAACTTTTGATAGATGGGAGGGCTGCCAAATAATTCCTCAGGGTCATAATGAGGATTATCTGTCTCTGCCTTTTGAATTAAGGCCAATCCCCAACAGGTTACAGTCATCAGATTAGGCTAATTATGTAGAGAGGTGTGATTTATCCCTCACTTGCATGCACTAAAAATGAATTCTTTTTTAGTTAGTTCATTTTGGAAACCTTTTGGCAAGAGCGCTTTGAGTTTTTGGACGTTCATTCAACACAAAAGCTGCTATTCCAGAAGAATAACATACATACGTACACATGCAACCGTTCTCTTCCTTCACTTCTGTCATAAAATAACAGTAGGTATATTTACATTATTATGTAAAAAGATGCAATGAATAAAAGAAACAGAGTCAAGCAAGGTGCAGAGTGAGCATGCAACAACAGAGGGGGTTATATAGAAGTCTCTATGTCCGTAAGCATTAATTGTACCTTGCATTCATCTACTACAACAGAATTGTTAGCAGTGACGGTAGCAGTTGTGGTAGAGGTAGAGGTAGAGGTAGAGGTAGCGGTAGCGGTTAAGACGCACTGGTTGGAATTGTTTTCGTGATGGTTCTTCATGTCATCGTAATAAGACTGGGTCTTCGTCATCATTTCAATGTCATCTGATTTAGCCGTGTGCGCATCCAGCTCGTCCAGCTCTGCCTTGGACATGTGGTACACGATGCCTGCACCATAGGAGTCACCCACCACGTTCACTGAAGTCCTGAATCGATCCCTGAGGAGAGACAAACCAGGCAAGAAAGATGGTTTTCCATACTTTATAAAAATGAGAAAAATACAAGTAGAGATTTCCAGATGAATGGAAAACAAAAACCTAAAATAGAGGTAAAGGGAAATCACAACCACAATATATATTTTTGTCTTGTCAAACTCACAGCAGCCAGTCAACAGCAACCAGCAGACTGATGTCTTGGGTTGGCAGGCCTACAGCAGTAAGGATCAAGAGCATAGTCACCAGGCCGGCACTGGGAATACTGGCTGCTCCAACACTGGCCAGGGTGGCTGTCAGACTGGAAAACACAGCGAAGCAGCAATCAATCCTATTCTCCAAAACCACTACGATTAACCACACCCTGCCGCAACTCCTCACAGACATAAATAAATGTGAAATGGCTAAACTACACAGCAACAGATGAAGACTTTCGTTCTCTATGGTACTTGTATAAAGAGCAGCAGCTGAAGAGCGCCAGAGTGGGTCATCCAACGCACATGAAGAGAGGTTCAAATGTGAGAGATGGGATGTTTAATTTGAGGGGTTTGTGGATTGATATGCCATAAAAATGTCAGGCTGAAGGTCGTCCATCCTTGACTCACCGTATTAACAGGAGAGCATTAGGGGATAGTTACAGATATTTATTATTATTTTATTTAAACCCACTTTAAATAGTGGGAATTACAATTCTTAGTGTTATGATTAAAAATACCCACTTGAGAAGCCTATTTTCATACAGGGATGTCTGAAATATCATGGAGGGTTTCATCATTTCACAACACTAATACTGACATTTCATACAATGCAAATGTTCACATCACACAGAGCATCTGGGTCTTTTCTATGTCCAGAGACAAAGCTAAATCTGTGCAATGATACTTACAGTTTTCATCACATAATTTCAGCTCAGCTCAAACTGTAAACATAAGCATGAAATGACATCAACTAATAAAATCTGATATGCTTGAAGTCTATCATGAGTGTCTCCTGACCTGACAGTGACAATCTGACCAGGGTCAAGGTGGATGCCATTCATCTGGGCAATAAAGATGGCTGCAACAGCCTCATACAGAGCAGTTCCATCCATGTTGATGGTGGCACCGACTGGGAGCACAAAACGAGTGACTCTTTTGTCAATACCCAAGTTCTCCTCCAGACAACGGAAGGTGACAGGCAGTGTACCAGCACTGGAGGGAAAACAAGGAAATTTTAGGTTATATTTTGAATCAGCTGCACATATATCAAAAATGAAATGTCCAGTCATTTTAATGCTGACCTGGAGGCTGTCCCCAGGGCAGTGATCCAGGCCTGGAAGATGCCCAGGAAGAAGGTGAAGGGGTTTTTCCTGACGATAACAAAGTAGATGCTGGGCAGGAAGATTGCTCCGTGGATGATGAGGCCAATAATTACAGTGACCATATACATGCCCAGCTGCCTGGCCACCACCTCCAGGTCCTTGATGGAGATGATCTTACCACAGATGAGACAGGCAATACCAAAGGGAGAGTACCTGACGAGACGGATTTAGCTTTGACTACAGAAAAGAAGGGATTTCACACAAATTCTGCTTCATGTAGCTACACTATTTTAAAATGTTGTAATGACTTGAGAAATAACTTGGCGTTAACAGTTATTTCTGACTTGAAATAATTAAATGAGTCAATGAGATTCTTAAGTGATACTAACCACATGATCAAGATGACAATTTTCATCACAATCTCATTGAGGATGTTGAAGAATTCAATCATGAGTCTGGCCTTTTCTCCCATCTTGCCCATGCAGATGCCAAATGCAATAAAGAAACCAATCAGACCTGTGACAGAAAATCATAAATGTATCAAACTTTGAATACCAGTGTGGAGAGGTGAGATGACTACCACATGAGGGGAGTATTATTTGAAGATGAGACATTCAAGGTTTGGATTACATTTACAGCCAGAAACATTAGGTTTATCCAGATGTTTGCTACTGTGAATTTCTGTAAATGTAATACTGTAAACTTTGCTTTTATTTTTAGCCATGCTAGCTGCATGGATGACAATGTTAGTTGGTCAGTTCACCACTTTGGTCAAATATCTCAACAACTTTTAGATGAATTGCCATGCAATTTGGTGGAGATATTTATGGTGCCCAGAGAATGAATCCTAATAACTTCGGGGATTCCCCGATTTCCTATTGCACCATCATCATGTCAGAGTTTTCACTTGTCCTGAGAAGTATGTTCTTTAGATTGGCAATGACATGACCATGTTTCTGACTTTAGTCATCCCTTGACTTTTCCTGTAGCACCAACATGGGGTTCTTATTTATGGTTTTGAGGGAAATGTCTTAACTATTGGATGTATTGCCGTGACATTTGATACACCCATGTCCCTCTCAGGAGGAATGATCTTAACTTTTCATTTAGCACAATCATCAGGTCAAAAATTTCTATTTGTTGTATACATTGATTTATGACCAAAAACCTGCAAAACTAATGACATTCCCATCAGCATCATCTAAACTAAACATGCCGAAAAGTATGCCAGCTAAACATCAGCATGTTAGCATTGTCATTGCGAGCATTTTAGGATGCTGATAGTAGCATTTGGCTCAAAGCAACGCTGTGCCTAAGTATGGCCTCACAGAGTTGCTGGCATGTCTGTAGACTCTTAGTCTTGTTAACTGTTAATTATCTATACACTGTGAGTGTTTTTGGTTGGTTACATACCCAGAACATTCATGCCACTTTTGAACTGTAGGGACTTTCTGACGATGTACTGAGGCTCCTTGGTAATGTTAGCCACTAGGCCCTCCAGGGTGGTGGCATTGACATCCTCCTCAACAGCCACTTCTATCTTCTTTGTGACAGTCTGGATCTGAGTTAAATGAGGAAAAGATACTAGTGGTGAGTTTGTTGACCAATGCTGGAATCAGATATGATGTATCCCTATGACACAAGGCCACTCAGCTGTCAATAATCGTGTTTGCAAATCTGCTTCTGCTTTGGTGTGTCTTTATATCCAATGTGCATTTAGTGTTCATCTGTTATAAAAGCCTCGACTAGGAAATAAAGACAGTAATGGACACTCTACCTATTTTCCAGACAGACAATACTGCAATTCTCTCAAACTTGATGTCAGGCCACAATGGATATTCCATATTAAATTATGCCACTCATACAAGACTAACAATGACTTTCATATATCACTGACAGACTTTCTAAGCATCTAGCACCTGCGCTGACAATCAAACTTCAGTATTAAGCCATGTGTCTTGTTACTGTTGTCCTCCATTTACCTGTTGGAAACAAGCCTGCACCAGATTCTCTGGGAACAGGTTCCTGATCAAATCAAAGAAGGCATCCAAGCTGGACACATCATCATTGACCTCGCCCTCGCCCAGATTCTCCTTCAGTTTGGGGTTGCCAGGGTGGATCAGTAACACTAGGATGACTCCCAGAACAGCAGCAATAATAGTGGTGCTCATGTAGTAGACCATAGCTCTGGTGCCCAAGCGACCGCTAGATTTGGCATCCAAACCAGCCAGACCTGCAGCCAAAACAAGCAAGATCGTGTTTTCACCTGCTAATTACTTACTGAATGGAAATGTTGACCTACCAGTTTGGGGCATGCAGGCTGGACGCAAAGACTGTAGGTGATTACATAATTGTGTTCATCATCATGTGCATGGCATTATATATTGCATGAAATATTTTCAATTATGATTTCAGAATCAGGATTTCAGTAATAACAGGGCATTCTCTTTGTGTCTGTCTTTAGCAGTATCACAGCAATGAAAGGTGACGATGAAAAATTTAAGTTTATTTGCCCTAGTAATCAATTTCAACCAACCCGTTCTCATTCCTAGGGAGTCAAATACCAATGCTTTGTCAAGTCTTTCGGGGTCTGGTACCACCACACATGGTAGCCTTTAGCATTATAGTTCAGCGCACTGGGGGAAGCCCTTTAGAGTCATTGTTTAACTCTTAAAGTAGGCCTTGTATGAATAACAGAAAGGTCTAAGTAAGGAGTTAGCTGGCCAAGCCTAACCAAATTGCGAATTCTGACAACGTTAATCACTAGTTTTATTTTGAAAGCCTAACCAAACGTTGCATATTTATTCTTGCTAACTTGACCTTGGAGCCCTATACATGGCAAAGCGACGCTGAAAGGTAGTAAGGGTGTTTAAAAGCCACTTCAAGGGTGTTGACCAAGTGTCCATTTGTGACGAGCTGGAAATGAGAATGGGTTGATTCAACTGTACATGAGCTCTGTCAAATGTGTATAGATACAATGCAAACACACCAGTAAAACATATTTTCTTAAAATAACATAATATATTACTATATAATGTATTTGCCATAAGTGATCTGTCACACAGCACCTGTGATTAAACTGGAGATGATGAGTGGGAGGATCAACATCTTCAGCATCCTCATCAGGATATCTCCAGGAAAAGAGATCACCATGACAATATCTGGGTGGATCGGAGAGGCAACACGGAGCAACATCCCTGATACAGCTCCTAAGATCACACCTGAAGTGCAAGGAGGAAGATGAGTGAGTGAAACTGCAAGTGTATAATTGCAAAATAGAAGATATTTGGGAATGATATTGACAAGTGAAAGAAAAGAAAATCAGATATTAGATTTTTTTTAAATGAAAGCATGTCTTATGGGTGTATTCTGGGCTGATGGGGAAAGTTTAAGAAGAAGTGATATAAGTTAATAAGTGACCTCTGCCTCTTATCAGTTTAGTTGTTTGGAGTTGTACAACAGGCTGTCTGTTACATGTTTAAAGAGAACAGTGGGTTGAGCAGATAAAACTGAAACCTGCTAAAAGAGAGTAAAGCTCACGGAGGATTAATTTTGGATCTTTTTCAAGCAACGGAGAAAAAAGAAGTAGTTGACCCTAATCTTAGGTTCACCTTGTGCCTCACTGGAATAGTTCTGCTATTCAGTAGATTCTTTGCTGCCTTACCTATCCTCTGGCCCCATTTACTTTCAATAAGCCTGGAAACAGTTACATTTGAAAGATCAGCCCATCCCTAACAAAGCCACTGTTGACCTTTGACATATGTCTCTTCCAACTAACTGCAACAAACATGTTATTTTCCTGCCACACAGTGTTTCTGCAAGTAAAGATGACCTCTCTCTGCTCTAACCCCCCCTGCAGCCCAGCCTACCAGTAGCTGGCCTCTGTGTCTGTCCATCTCAGGCCAGAAGAAAAATCCAGAAACCCACCCCACCACCACCCCGGGGCTGCACTTCCTCTGCTACAATACCACTGCCAAAGATCACACAGCCCGAGACGATGTTTAATAACACATATTTGAATCAAAAGCCCTCCAGCTTTAAAATAAAAAAAAACAAAGTAAGATGTGCTCTGTGCTTCAATCTGTCCTTCAGTCTAGCAGCATCCCATGAGGTCTGCACACCCAATGGTTTTGGATGGCACTTGATTTCCTGTGCCTTCTCTTTGGCTCTTTTGCAAGTTCTCATTTAGGCTCTTATCTGCCAAGTGACAGATGATCAATGATCATGCTGGCACCACTTGCTTTGCAAGAGTCCTGCCAAGTGGGGTGAGATGTACACATTACGCACACTCTCACCGACACACATCCATGCAAGCAGGAAACATACAGACAGGCACACCATACATGGCTAAATGAAATATACACACTCATATCCAATATGAATTTATACAGTTTTATAACAGGTTCACAGCATAGGCTTATAAAATGGTAAGGGGGCATATAGCTGTCAGACACAACAAAATATAAATGATATATGCTGGTTAAACACAAATCTGATTCAAGACCTCTAACCAGAAATTGCATCACCACTTTAATTTCCTCTTTTCATTAAATCTCCCCCTGTAGCACATTGAGCCACTGCTATAATCACAATATTTTTCATGCACCACCAGAGCTGTTTGGGTGTCCAGTGCTGCAGAGAGCTTTTGATAGCAACAGGTGGCACGGAGCTGGGGAAGGTCAGGACACCCAGTCATCTTACTGTCTGGTACAGTGATCAAGCACAGATGGCATCTCCTCCTCATATTACAAGCAAGCTGCATAATTGAGCTCTGAGTTAACACAACACTGAGCTCAGCGGTTGTCGGTGCCCATCTTTAGCATGCCTCACTTTTTATTAGCTACTTGAGGAAGAAAAGAAAGAGACAAAAACTCACCAATGATGAGGTGACTTACCGAGGACAGTGAGCGTGAGCAGAAGGTTCTTGAACATCTTGGAGCAGATTTGGGCACACTTGGACTGAGGCCTGGCCTCAATGGGCTCCAGGTGACTCTCATGCATCCTCACCTCAACTTGTTTAGGCATACTGTTGGCACTGTGACAGAGAGAAAGAACAAATTAAACTTTTATTTACAAAATACAAAACCATCAAGCTGAACCCCTTCTAAAACACACACTTGGTCGTACAGCATGCTGTCACATTCTGTCATACATGTGTGGTCACTCTGAGAAAGAACAAGGCATTATGTTGACTATAATAAAACACAGCACCATAATACAGAAGGCAGATCATTTGGATGGGCATGATGTCTCTGGAAACCATTATATATTTTTTTAAAAAACAGTGCATAATGAAAAATGTTAAGCGTTCAAGTGTGCTGCCAAGCTGACACTCCAACACTCCAACACTGTTCATGGTTACTAAATCATCCAACAGATGGAAGCTGGCTACAAGCTGCTGCTAGTAAAATGTCGGTCCTTTGGGGTAATACTTCAAACACATAGCATCTCAAGTAAGTTTATTAAAAACGGATTCTCTGAATCTTTTAAGCACAGCATTTTGTTAGAGATTTATGTAATTTCTGTATTTTGATCAAATAAAAATTGTCTGGGGTTAGCAATAATTTAAAGACATATCTCACTAGGTAATTAGACTGACTGTAATTTTTTTTTCATGCATGAAGAAATGGCAGGAATGAAATATTTTGAAAAAGTAGTTATATTCATGACATTAACATTCACAGAACAAACAGTGAAGCAGATTGGATTTTGAATACAACTTTCAAACATATGTATGTTTTATTAATTAATTACGGTGTGAAGGTTTCACTGTATAGACAATAAGAGACAAAAAAACCCTGGTGAGTATCTACAGATATTCGTTTAAGACAATGATAAAAAAGAAAGGAGGAGGAGCAAACATATTGACTGTTAGGACTTATGCCCCTACATATACATTCTCTCTCTCTCTCTCACATTTGATTGTGTGACAGTTTAGAAGCACACAAAAACTAAAATACAATTGTAGTCACACAGACCCAATGATAGATGACTTATTAAATGATTTCCCATCATAGGCAGCACAGAGCAGTTTCCTGCCGTCCCATTGAGGTGTAAATGAGTTGGTTAGTGAGAAGACAGCCAGCTGTGTCTGTCAAATACCAGATAGGCAGGTGTTCAATAACTCTGTCAGAAAGACAGTGACGGGGAATGAGAAAGGACAGTGGCTTTGTATTGGTTGTCTCCTCAACAAGTTGCATCAATAGTCTATCAAATTGTCTTGCTCTGTCTTTTTTTTTATTTAGGAAGAAAAATAAACGTCTCTTTGTTGCAATTCATCTCCAATAAGCCCATGAAAATGTCTGCTGTGATGAATTACAAAGAAAAGCAAAAGAGAAATAATGTGACACTGACCTTTCACCTAACCCCTGGGGTTCATGGCCCTAAAACTCACAAATCCTTCCATTTGTGAGTGGTGAAGTTATTTTTTTTGTCCTTACACCCTCCCCCCATAGTCCTAATGAAATCAGAACACTGCTTAGATATTAATCATGTTGGCTGTCAATTTTTTTTCAAAGCTGACAATTGATCAAAGGCAAGACAGCTCAAATCATTTGGAAAACCTCTCTGCAACCAAAAGGCTTTTGATGGTGTTATTGTTGTTGGGTAAGTAGTCACTAATAATTCCACATGAACACAGAGAGAGAGAGAGCGAGAGAGAGAGAGAGAAAGAGAGAGAGAGAGACTCACACATTTACACACACCTCCCCCAGCTTTGTGTACTGCTGCGTTGTAAGCTTGGCTATAGGAAGACCACCTGGTCAGCTTCCAGGCACACAGATGGACAAGTCCTATCTCCTCTTATTAATTTCAAAGTGAAGTGCGAAATACAGAAAATACATGCAACCAGCAGGCAAAGGTATAGCTACCATTACTCTCAAGCTCTGCATTATTTCACACATAAGTAAAACGCCAGAAATAAAATGCGGAAAAATTAGCATTACCATGTAATCCCATTCCACAAGAGTGATGAGTGCTGTTAATAGAATTTTCACCCTTTTCTCTCCCTTTCATTATTTTTAGCTCTGAGAGAGAGATAGAGACGTTGGACGTCACCGAGGTCGGATATTATTCTGTCATGATCCTCTCATTAGCGCTTCTCTCACCAAGGAAGAGACAGATGAGACAGATGTGCGACCCAATGATAGATGACAATGAAAATGCACAGTGAGGAGAAAACTATCATTTCACAACAGTAGGAAATAAAAATGTGTCTTTTTATGTTACAGAATCATTTTACTGGATGGAAAATTCCCCTTCTGTACATCATTTTATCTTTCATTTATGAGCATAATGACATGACCTGACATGAGTATCATTTCTCCCTGCCCTGCAGTCTAATTCTGAGTTATTAAGCTTCAAAGTTGTCAGCATCCATTCACTTTAATGGATCTGAGCTGCTTCTTTTAGAAACTGTTAAGAGCCACTCACAAGCTAGGTTACTACGACTAAAAAGTCCAACAGAACCTCATAATGCAAAAGTCATGACATTCATATACAGACACACAGACACGCCTGCACACACATATACAGATTCTTCTTCTCAGTCTCTAATAGGATCATTTTATGAACCGGTCAATCTTGGCCAAGGGCTTAGTGAGATTAATTGCATTACAGGACTGTAAAGCCATGAAGAATTAATGAATGTCTTAATAAAACAACACCTGGTGTCAACCCAGGTGACTGAAAGACAAATTATAATTCCACATGCACAACACAATTTAGAGAAGTCCCCTTGTATTTTCTGGTGATGCACTGTAAAAAACAACAACTTTTAACTTCAACACAAAAATATTCAATTGCTTGAGTGTTGCTGAATCACCACAGTAAGTACCTGAAGTGAATGAACAGAGAAAGTGCAAGATGTAAAAGTATATTATGCTCATAACTGTAAATGGGATGCATAGTACTTACTTCATTTCTGGTGGAGTTGAGGTAAGTGCTATATACATTGACCAGGCTCAAACCTCCAGCCTTTGGTATTTAAGAGTGAATCAGAACAAGAATTTGTTAGTAGGATCACGACTGCTCCATCCAAAAGTGTTGCCAGATGTCAGCAGATAAGGTCCCAGGTACAGCCGGTGGCTGAAAACACCACAGCTCTGCTGACAGCTAGCAGCTCTCAGCTGTCCACCAGCTCTTCCTAAGCATCCAGAGAGGAGCGAGTCAACACAGCCCAGACGACAGACCCAGTCACAGCTACAGCAACCTGAATTGCCCCATCCTGATGTCTACAAACCCCACTCAGCCCCCACCCCCCCTGACTCCACCATTCACAACCAGCTACACACCAAGGCACACACAGAGAAGAGAACACATGCATACAACAATCCTAGAAATAAATAAATAAATAAAGAGGAAAAAGTGGTGGGAGGAGTCAACATCTGAGCTTAACAGTGAAATCCCTCAGGGACCCTCCATTCCCTGGACACTGTAATCCCCTCAGAGGGTACACTCCCAGACTCATCCAGCTACATGGGATAGCGTGGGATGATGCCTGCTAATGGCACAATGCGGACAGTAGTGCTTTGTAAGTAGTCCTTTGGCTGAGAGGGGAATACACGACAAAGGAATGATGGATGGAAGATTTAATGTCCATAATGTCGCCGTTTTGGGGCTTTGAGGTCATCCTGATGGACTATGTATTATGTCACTGTGTGTTGAGCCACAGCGGCCCAAGAGCATATATGATGAGGTATACATAGATATCTGCAAAAGGTTATATCACACAGATCAAATCATTAGATTAAACGATTTAATCAATATATGTAGAGAGAGAGATAATGTCCTCAATAAACTACAAAAACACTAATAAGGGAAGTTAGCTACAAAATATGTTTGTTTAAAGATACTGGCAAAATAAGGTCCACACACTCACTCAACATATTGATTTACATATCCCCACTATTCAATAAAAACTCCAAAGCACTGACTTCCCTCTAGTCTCCCAGCAGCATGGGACTTCACATCGTATTGAGCAGTATCACATTATTATAATTAGGGAAATGTGCTGGAAAGCCATTTCCTCTTCAAACACAACAACAACAAAAGCCAGAGGAATCCCATCTCTGTCTGTGAAAGGTTGTGTCATGAGAAATCACTCATCCTAAATCCCTTGACATGTCATACTCATTCAAAGGGCCCTGTCAGGGAAGCATTTTTTTGGGGGGGGGAGAGTAGGACAGAGAAGAAGGGGTTACAGGGGCGAGTAAGAGGGACACTAGAGGAGAAGGGGGTACTGGGGTCACACCAGCACCTCTCAGCCAAAAGAGGGGCCTGTGAGGGGAAGGCTGAGGCAGCCATCCCTTCTCTTGGCTGGCACCATGTGAAGCTCTCTGCTTCCTCTCTCTTCCTTCTGAGGGGCTTTGTTTCACACGCAAACAGTGGCAGTGGCCCCAACTCGCCCGGCCAAACGCTGCATCCAAATTGGCAAGGGCGAGAAAAGACGGGAGGGGGTTCGAATGGGAGGGGGTATAAGGGTATAGCATGGGTGGCAGTGGGGACAGTGGGCATGTCCAGAATGCCAGTTCTTTCAGGCCACTGATGTCATGCCTGTGCCCACCGTGGGAGAGCAGCGGAGGGACCAAGGCGCCCCTTTCTCTTTCCCCCTCCACAGTCTCTTTTTTTCCAGGATGAATGAATCTTTCACAAACGGCAGCCCATTGTGTCCCATAATCGACGGCGATTATCCCGATTTTATGCTGCTTTCCCAGTGCAAGGAGGTTCCCTGAGTGCTGGCATTGAGGACTGCTGCGATGCATCAAGGACCATGAGGGGTTGTCCTAGCAACGCTCTGCGGCTTACAGAGAAGGGGATCAAGGGGAAAGAGGAAGCTCATACCCACACACAGAGCATACAAACACATAGCCTGCACACATACCATATAAACATGGGGTACGGCTTGATAGATTAGCAAGCGGATGGACACGTTGAATCTTTTTCTCACCAAAGGATATTTTATTTCATAGACAAAGAAGTAATGAAGCATTTAAACACTTTTATAAAACTTCACAAGACATTTTTAAATAGAGGTTCTTTGGTGTCTGTGCTGCATAATTAATGAGCTACTGTCACACGCTTTGCCATACAATGCCGCTCATCCAAAACACATGCTTACATAATAATTAAGTTTGCACTAGTGGCCGGTTGTGTGGTTACACTTGTCTAATTCAGGTTGTTGGGATCCATGCATTAGCACAAGATGTAAATGAGAATACAAGTTTTCCACTAATCTGTTGAGGGGCCCGATGCCTGTTCTCATGACTGGAGCATCACAACATAATGTGAGGTAAAGACAACTGGAGCTGGGCCAGGCTCCGGATATATCTGGCCCCTCTGGGCCTCACAGCCACTTGCCATGCAGTGGGAAGAAATGGGTTCACACATACTGGCTGTGAAAAAGCCCCCCCCCCCTAATGAAGCTCTCAGCAAACACTTCAGGTTGTGCTGTGCATAGGAAGTGGGAGATAAATTCCAGCATCTGAAGAAAGGGAAGCTTTGTCACTCTACACCTCTCAATAATGTATCCCTAGATGCTTGTCAGAATGAATACATTCAGTGATAGATAGTGATAGAGAAATGTGTGGACTGTCCTGCAAATGTGGTTTCTTCCACTATCAGTGTAACCTACTGTTCTTCAGTACCTCAACAAAACACAGGAGACCCTCTAAGAGTGCTGCTTCTTAGAAACAGTATCTCCTGTGAGTAGTGGAACCAAAAAACTTCCCCATAGGGTAGAAAATGCCTCAAAACTTAAATACAGATTGTGGGTAGATACACACCCAAATGCCAAACCAGCACAGGGATTTCCTCTTCCCAGTATGCTTCTCAAACAACAGCCCAAATAAAATTTACCTTCCAGTTTCTCAGTCAGATCATCTGAAGGAGACTACTGTTGTGAAAAATGTTTTTTAAATATGTTCTTATATAATGTGTATGTGTATGTGTGTATATGTATTTAATATCTTACAAGCGTTTCATATCAGCCTCTGATGTGCAAAAGAATCCTTTTGAGTGTATGAGTGTGTGCCCTCTGTGTGCATATATCCAAAGCACACTATGTCAAACCTTGGTTAGATTAATTTAGGAAAGTGACCCCACACAAATGTAGGTGTGCAGAGTCACTCAGTGGTCCACTTGAAAGCCATCTTGAACTGCTTCCATGTGAACCGTGGCATGAGAATATAGCCTGATCAAAGACTGGCACAGAGCCAAAGGAGCTGCGCATTGAATAAGGCATATTTTTGTTGATATTCACTCATGTCAATTCCATGCTGTCACTTTCTGTCTTTAGACTGATGAAATAGCTAATCAATGAATGGAATGCAAATAAATACAAAGCACATGAATGTGTAATACCAAACAATGTGCCCATTTACAGTTCAATTTCTGTATTTTTATAAGAATGAATGAGTACATTGTTGTGGAGCAGATTTCTTGGAGCAGAACAAAAGAAGAATTAACAATTATCAATCAATCAATCAATCAAACTTTACATCTAAAGCACATTTAAAACAACCAAGTTGACCAAAGTGATGTACATGAAGAATTATAAACACATGTTCTTAGTAATGTATTGTTTGAGTTTGGTTACTCTATGGGAATGGTGTGATAGCTCTACAGAATCAGGGCACTTACAGCCACAAAAACAAATGCTTTTTGCTTGAATTCCCATAAACTATACAATCGAACTTGGGGTATTGAAAACATAAATGCCCTAAAAAACAGCATTTTGAATTGATGAGTAAAAATGCTTATAGGGGTCTAGATACTTATAGTGTGCAGATGAATGTATACACATTGTGGCATTAAATTCTACATATCATATTTGTATTTTAGTTGCAGTTCCAAATACTTTATCTCGACTATGCATTATGTATTATTGACCCGTTTAATACCTCATTCTTTGGGTGATTATTAATGGCTAACATGGATGGTGTTTGGGCAGTCTGATCTTGAAGGGTTAACCCTTACAAAAAGATATGGAGTAGCAGCGCAGGCATTCAGTACCACGGTCAGCTTCAGGCCTCGGTTTAGGCTGACCTGAGCTGTGATCTAGGTGTTAGTGTGCAGCATTCCAGCACTGACGCTACTGATAGCAAGTCTTCCTTTTTTTGGATGTGTGTTTTTCTGTAACACTTGTACTAAAGAATAGAAATCACCAGCAATCATGTGCTGCTATGTACACATTTTCTAAATTATACAGCTGTAATGCTGTAATTCCTATTTTTATGCTTTCTTCGCATTTTCTATACTATTCTATTTTACAATCAGGGTGCATCCGCATCCTGGCAACGCATGATTGAACCATACTGTACGTGCCTGTTCCTCAGCATCCTCTAAGGTTTCCTTTTGTTTGGCACAACCCTTTGTGTCCATAATGAGGCAGTCATTAGAGAGAGCCTCTGGGAATCCTGAGGCTAGTGTTGTAGTCTGCATAGGTCTCTCAGATGTGGTCAGTCCCAGTGTAATTATGTTCTAACAGCCCATTATGGCTGGGAGTGGTGGGATTGAATTGGGTGATTCCAATTCATCTGGATAATATCTGCAGAGATATTAAGTTTGATGGCATCTAATCCTACCACAAGCCACTTCACCGGTGCGACAGTTGGGCACTCAAACATGATCAAATACTTGTCCCTACATGTCTTTCCCTTTCCACCTGCACCTTCATCTACCTATCCTCTTTTCTCTTTTGTTTTGCTGCGTTCAAAGTGAGCAACTCCCAACTTGTCTGGAATTCATATTACATGTCTTGGTTAATTCAGTTTCCTTCATTATGTCTTAAGAGCCTTAACTGTGATGCTATGTTTTCAGTGGTATCCTTCAAAGCTGTAACCAAAATGATTTTCTTGCTGTACCTCTCCACAACCTCCCCCAGATTAGGGGTTACACACCTATTACAGACACATTTACCATCATCTCTTTCCTCCTATAGCTGCTCCTGTGTTTATGGCGGCTGCATATGAAGCAATGCTGCTGTCATTAGCAAAGGCGCATCTGTTGAACAGAGCTGCCCATATAGCATCACGCAGCTTTTGATGGCTTTGGTTCCATCCCCACAGGAGCTCATTAAATCCGCCGGTAAGGCAGGACCACACCACCCTCTACTATAACCACCGCTGTGGTATACCCGCTACATTGCTGAGAGGGGGATGACAGAGGCGGAGAGAGAGAAAGAGGCATACAGTAGACAGAGCGAAGGTGGGA